TTTTATGCTTCCCTTTGTTTGTGGGTGTGTGTATTTGGTTTTCGTTATATATATATATATATGTGTGTGTATGTTTCTGTGTCTGTGCGTGTGTGTGTGTTTGTTTGTGTGTGTGTGTGTGTATGTATGTATGTCTGTATATATATATATATATATTCGTGTGATTGTGAAAGTGTGTTTGTGAGATTTATTCTTCTGTTCTGTAAATGTTTGTGATAGAGGGAGTATATTTGTGTGTTTGTGTGTTTTTGCACATTTATATTTTTACATAGTTCTCTTTTAGAAAACTGGTCAGAGTATATACATGTGATGATTGTGCATGTGCTGATTCGTACCTTGCTATGAATTGCTCATGAATCATCTATGCACACTTTCGGCATTTTGTCTTTCGGTTTATACGTGTGCTTCTGTTTCCTTCTGATCATGTCAGAATAGTATAGGCTGTATTCATCGCAAACACAATACATTGAAGTGTATTCTTGTATGTTTTCTCATATCTCGTTGTAGTCAAAAACTTGTACTAGCACAGCGCATAAGTAACCTTCAAAGTCGGTGAATGCTTCCCACGTCATTCACCATCCAATTGTTACTTCTATATGCTTCAAAGTTTCCTTGTCAAATGCGGAAAGCGATGATGAAAGCCAATCAGCTTCCCGGTTAGAATCCGTATTGAAAAAGAGACGATCGGAAGTCATCAAGAAACGCTGGAAGGCTTTGCGAGCGGCGGTCAAAGTGGTCTCCAAATGGCAGGTGGGTGATCTGAGACAGTGGAATATGCCGTTATTGTCTGGGCAGTCGTTTAAGACTCATTAGTCGCCGCTAAGTGAGTTTGTTTATGGCAACACGATTTACCGTCTATAATTAGTCGATCATAAACAGTCTCGCCGTTGACTAAACGTTGACTGCTTTCATCGAGTAGCTAGGGTAAGTTTAGGGTAGTATTATTCTGATGCCATACCATTCGGTAGGTATCAATGGGTTTCATGTCGTGGCAGTGTTGTCTGTTGGTGTTTCCCGCTGCTGTTGGTGCTATGGACTTGTAGAGATAGCCATCGCCAAAGCATTCTCGCCCACTCGTGCATACTTCAGAAGGCATGCTCCACCGTTGTTGGCCTATGTACGTGACAACACTACGCCTATTCTCTACCAACTCACTCTCTATTCTTCCAAACATCTGAAAAGGCGCTTCAACGTCACACATTGATCGTTCTGATGATGTGCTATGGCCATGTCATTCTCAATGCAACTCTGCACTTATTAAAGTTCTGTGTCGCCCTCTCCACTTTATATACCTACTCCAGTCGACGGGCATCAATCCCAATCTGTACTACCCCATGTCCAAGTCCTACGCTGTATGGCAGGCCGTAATGGTTGGCGTTACTTCCTACAACATGCTGATCTGTCCCACGATCCTTGCCTTCAAGGAGGTCTATATGATGCCACCTTTGCTCATGTATGTATCGCACGCGCAACTATGTGTGTATTACGGCATGTGCTCTTTCTTAGTGTACTTTGTTTGTCTTGCTCTCTCTATCTATGTACGTATCGCCGCATGTGCTCTTGCTTAGTGTATTTTGATTGTCTTGCTCTCTCTATCTATGTACGTATCGCCGCATGTGCTCTTGCTTAGTGTACTTTGTTTGTCTTGCCTACTCTATCTATGTACGTATCGCCGCATGTGCTCTTGCTTAGTGTACTATGTTTGTCGTACTCTCTCTATCTATGTGTGTATCACCGCATGTGCTCTTACTTGGTGTACTTTGTTTGTCGTGCTCTCTCTGTGGGTTCGTGTACATGCGTTCTCTTCGATGTGACAGTATGTGTTCTCTCTCCATTCTAGCAATTGCAGCCGCAGTATTAACCATTGGGTTAGCTGTTTTCTTCACCACCTACAGCATTCATAGGCGGAGGCTCAGCCTTCCGTAGTAGACATACATTCCCTACATTGGTGTGTTCGCAGATTTCTTTCTCTTTCCGAAATGTGCTACATTTCTTTCTCGTTCCGAAATGTGCTACCAGGGCTCTCCATGGCCTCGGAATAGGTGTATATATCCCTTTCTCTCGTCTGCTTCGCCGTTAGTAAAGTCCCATCCGTTTCCATGGTGACTCTCGACCACTGTGTACAGGGTAAGTAACCTGGCCATCGATGCGCTGATGGCAATACACATCCGCCGCGAGTTCAAGACAGCCTATGTGACGCTTGGTGTCACCTACGACGACGAAGCCACCATCGTCGAACACTACAAGAAGACGCACTTCATGCGAGACCTCATCGCAGGTGAATACTGCGTTTCCCAGTCGTATTCGTGTTCCCTGTGCGCGTGTGGCAGTGTGAAGATGCTCCAGTTGAGTTGTGCTGCGTATATACTCATTGTGACATTGTGTGTGCGGCAATAGCCAATTAGGCGGCGACTCCTATTTCGGTGGTGTGTCGCCTGACCTGATCCAGTCTCTTATCACATTGCGTGATTCGGTATATGTGCAAGTCTATACGTGACTGTGCAGATAGGAGGGACGAGTTCTTTCTTAAACCGGCAAAGTAGACTCGCTTTCTGCACGTATGAACTCACACCCGAGAAATCAATCAGCAAGCATACACTTGATAAGCTGTAGCTACTTTCTTGAATCGCGATATTGTTGTTTGCGCACTTGTATAGGCAGTATACTGCCGCTTCATCACATTCAGTCTTTCTGCGCCCTATAGCACGCGATAGGGCCTATCTGCAGGACTAATTATTTCCGGTACTTAGATCTGCCCTTAGATCTGTGGATACGCCAGGGTGTATTGTGCCGCTTATAATCGTTCCCTGCGTAGTTTATACCAGAAGAAACCACTTGCCCAGTCGAGCTACTGAATCACACACTTCCCTCTCCCCTCGCCCCAGCGTTACATTAACACTACCTTGTACAGCATCGAAAAAAGGTGTCAGTGACTGCTAAGATATAATACATAAGCAAGACATCTTACAAACTCTAAATTTTGGATTCATTCATAGCATTAACCCGCCAACCGCCGCATCACCTCTGGACACATTAGTATTTATCCTCTATCTTAGGTTCAGTCGCTGCATGAATTATAAAAGTACAACCGCCGTAGACACTGAACTCGGATTTTTCTGTGTCCTTCCCTTCAGCGGTACCCCTGGACACAGTAGTTTACCCCATCCAGCTCGTATTCAGCTTTTCAATGACACCACGAAATACTATTTTAGACACGGGATCCATACCTTTTACTTTCCCTACTCTTGGAAGTGCGATCAATAGTCAAAATGTCGAGTTCTTGCCTAGATTATATCGTAAGCACTGCTTTTGACATTGAACTCAGAGCCTTCATTTCCCCATCACTCAGCCCTCGAGACATATAAGTTAACAGCCCACTAGACATATAAATTATCATCCTTCCTTCAGCTAGTTTATTCTTCCTCCAATTACATTATGAAAGGTTCTATTTCAGACACTGATATGAAAGAGTCTCTTTTTCCTCCCCTATTTGTCACTCCAGTACAGAGCTGTAAACGAGCACTCACCGTCTACCCCATGTTCTAAACCTCGATCATGCTACAAACCACCATTTCAAATGCTGAACCCACATCCATCCGCTTCTCTCCTCTCAGCGTTACCCCTGGACACCATAGTATACATCATCCAGTTGTCGTTCAGTTCCTGGTTCGACACAACGGCGCGTCTCGGGGATTGGTACTCGACCTCCCACGGCCCAGACGTGTGTAGCTTAGACGACACCGTCAGCGCTCGTGTGTGGGATGGGTTCTGGGAGTGGATATGGCTGCCGGCGCAGATAGCCGTGATGTTGGTCAGGTGTCGCGTGCTCAAGCTCTTGCACCTGCAGAGCCTGACCCACTTCTTCATAGGCATCTCCAACTATACGGTATGACTGAATGTCGGGGACATTGCCTTCGCACGGCTGATCGCTAGCCTTGGTGAGAATGGGTGAACTGGTTATTCTTCTATTTGTTTTCGTCGCACCGATAAGTGTGGGTGCGAGAGAGAGAGAGAGAGTGTGTGTGTGTGTGGTTGGGGGGTGGGGGGGGGGGTTAGGGCTTTAGTTCATGTGTAAGGGACATGTGTAGTCATGATACTATATACGATTTAAGACAGAACGATAGGTCTCAGCTACTTTACCTTCGACATTTGTGTACTACTACTGGTGTGGAAGGGTAAGATTGTATAATCTTTTTCATTGCATATCAGAATCGTCTCTCGTCATACGCATACGTATACAAGCACTCATCTCACTAGCTCAAAAACGAACGTGTTTGTTTTGCCGTCCCTCACACCCTTGTCAGTGAACTCTCGAACTTGCCATGGTAGTATCATACCACTATACGTTAGCACAGCATATCCCATACTCCTACACTTGAACTTCCTTTGGATTGCATCTTGTTACATTCTCGTATTTTCTTGCTCACTCGTCTCGTATCTGCAAACACACATGCACGGCGTATGCCAACATATTAATGCTGCTCCCGGCTGTCTTATAACAACCACATGTTGTATACCTACACACAACCCTCCAGGTGCACGTCAGCGTACTTGAGCACTTCGAATCGTGTCTACTATAATCATTCATTCCCCAGCTACAACCACAAATTTGCAGTCATGCATTCACACACTGGAAGTGTTCGCAACTTAGCCATAAATCACCCTAACTTTCTGCCTACGTACACATCCACAGTCGCATGTGAACGCTGTGGAGCTGGTGAAACTCTATCTGTCGGTGATTTGGGTGGGTCATATGGTGGGATGCGCGTACTATCTCATCTGCTGGATTGAGAATTTCGAGGGCAGCGATTTCGTGTTTGAAACGGTATGTACATAGATATGGGCAACGATATGTATGTATGTATGTATGTATGTATGTATGTATATATATATATATATATATATTATATATTTATATATATATATATATATGTATATGTATATGTTATATATATATATATATATGTTATATATACTTGCACACAAATGCACTTATTTTGCTTGGCGACGTTTTCTATGCCTTGATCTCTCCACCTCAGAGCCGAATACTCGTGTACTCCTGGCTTGATTGTCACTATATCATCGATAGCGCCAATAATACACCTGACACACTGTTGTCACTACATGTCAATCTTGAATACGATCCCCTCATCTTCAGTGCCCAGACTATACCAATGCAGTACGTTATAATAAGGCGTTCCCTTTGCCCTAATCTTTAGCACACGAGTGCCGAGCATTGAAAAGTCTCGCTCGCCATCGCGAACCAAGCCACGCCTACAGAGTCTCAGCTGAATGGCAGTATCTAATGAGCCAAATTCATCGTCACTACCCATACCACACCCACTACAGAATTTCCAGTGGTACTATTCGTTTGAATGACCTTATCTGATATACCTATCTCGTCGCCGCCACCCATGCCACATTCAATGCAGAGCGGCAGAGTCTGCGATGTACCAAACGAACATATCTCAGCGCAATTTACCTATATGGCGCCCAATACAGAGTTTCCCATCAATGTTAGCTAAAAACATAGACTCAAATCACGCCTGCTCTTGAGTTTCCATTTGTAGTACTATCTCGAATGACAATGTCCAACAAACCAATATCCTTGTCACTTCTCATCCTACACCTAACACAGAGTTTCCAGTACGAGCCGTTGTGGGTTAAGCTGCTGATGACGTTCTACTGGGGCTTTTCGTGCATGAGTGGGGTTTCCTCCACCGCACAGCCCCCAGAGACCCCCATAGAGACCATCTTCTCTTTCTTCGTGAGTTTGATCAGGTGCGTTCCCTTGTTGTTTCTGTCAACCCTAGAAGAAAACTTACAGTACTGTTCCCGTGTTGCTTCTGCTAACCCTAGAAGAAAAACATCCAGTACGTGCTAATATATAGCTATCTCACTTTTATTGCCGAGAGTATATACAACATCAAGTACGCCCCTCGCAACACCGTTTGTTATCACCAATCGCCGAATAGTACGTGTATATATAT